CATGACAACCCCGTCTCTGCTTTCTCAGCATTCGCTAACATTGGGGGGGAAATCACACCTTAGGACTTCTAGCTCCAACTCATAACCCCCCTACAAGAGAATGTTACAGTACAGTGCACTGAGCTTAATACTACCAACATGGCGGACGAAATTAAAACTGATGGATGGGACATCAGCAAAACAGTAGGATGCGCACTTAGATCACGGGGTGGGATACGTACTTCGATACGGGATGGGATTCGTACGTAGAAATAGGGTGTGCGAGGGTGAAATATGATACCCCCACAACTGCCTGTAACTTGAGACAAACATGTGGGTACCGCTAAGCTCCAAGTGTTGCACAACATGAAATTTATCGTTTCGTTGAGATTGTTTTACTCTTCCTCTGACGTAATTAAGAATATAAGACGTTACGTCAAACCTGTCCAAGACAACCATTAAGTGTCAAGGAGGAAAGTGGTCGTCTTACACAGGTGGTCCCTTTAGACACTGTCATTAGTTTTTAGTTTTAGGTAGAGGTTTTACGGCGCTCGCAACTGCATAAAGTCATATGAGCGCCAGAAGATTAGAGGTATTACAAGAGAGTAACAAACATAAAAAAAGAAAGGGAGATAAGGACGATTTATGTTTGATAGGAAAGAAGAAGCAAACCACACCAGAGCACCCGCCAACCACCTACAAAGGAATTCTAGGCCAAAAAATGTGAACACACAATCCAAAAATTCTTCAACACATGCAAATCAGATTCAACCCCTAACCCATGACCCTCTGTACAGTGTTGTAACACAGATTAGGTGACCAGCCCATAGGGACGGCTCCGTGCACCTGAGGGATAACGCCTGCTGGGTCGCTCAGCTGCCTATGAATATAATACATTATAATGTACATTAATGTTTCCTCCTCCTCCTCCTTCTTACGCGCCATCGATGTCACATTGCCTTCTTCTTTTTCTTCCCTCTCCTCATCCCCCTCGGTGTGTGGGTAATTGTGTCAGTTCTCCGAGGGTGCGCAGAGAGAGAGAGAGAGAGAGAGAGAGAGAGAGAGAGAGAGGAGAGAGAGAGAGAGAGAGAGAGAGAGAGAGAGAGAGAGAGAGAGGAGAGAGGAGATACACCCTTCTCACCTGAGACTCCCACTGATGGTACAAGAAACAAAGAGTCCAGGAATGCCTTTCAGGTCTCCTAGAACGTCCATGACGAACAGAGGAAGGAGCTGAGGATGTTAGAAAATATGAGGTTAACGCTATTAATTCATACTGATTTGATAGGATGCCACTAAAAGCCATTTTTACTAATTTTGCAGCTTATTGCCCCCCCCCCCCCCCTCAATCCCTTTTCCCCTACCTCCTTCTCCCCCCCCCCAAACAAAAGACCCCCCCCCCCCCCCCCAAAAAGCAAATAAACAAAAGATCCATTCAAAAACCTTTTTAGAGAGAAGACCTACCCTTCCTCCCATTCCCAAAGAGTAATAAAAATTCACAAAAACGTATGCAAAAACATAAACATTGATTGAAAACAAAAGCACCCCAAAAGACTCGTAAAATCATACAGAACAAAATAAAAACCCAGCAGAAACGGCACTATAAAACAAGTAAACAAACACCCTCCCCCCTCCCTTCCCCGCCTCAACCCTCCCGTTTTCCACGAAACATACACAGCAAAACAGAGAACAAAACAGTTCAACACACTACGCCAAATACAAAATAATCAGCACTGAATGAATTACTGTGCTTCACCCCTACCTGATCTCTTTTCTCTATGATTCCTAGTTTTATGGGATCGCAGTTCAGGTAAAAGGAAAACACGACGATGCCGATGAGACAGGTCAGAAGCACGATAGACACCAGGCCTGGGGTGTTGACCAAGATGGCCCTGGGTGTGCAACAGAGATAAGTGATTGTTCAGAAATGAATGACATTCAATGATATATTGACAGTTATCAAGTATAAATTAATATATACTTCACTGGTTCAAGATTATAAGCAAAGGTGGGGGGGTGGGGTGGGGGTGGGGGTCACGTAATAAAAAGTGTTCACTTTCATTTTCCAAATTACTCTCTTTGCAAACTAAGACCGATAAAATAACGGAACATCAGCCTGCCTCCTAAATGGTCTAAACTGTGTAGATTAAGCACGTAATAATATTAATAATAATAATAATAATAATAATAATAATAATAATAATATATAACAATGCTAGACAGAGGCTG